ATTTTTTTTAATTTTTTACAGATTCTTTCAAGGAATTCAAATCAATTTATATCATATTAGACAATGGAAGTCTGAACTAATGAAATGCACCACGAAACAATGTCAACCAACTTCAACAAACGTAGAAATGTCATATTTAAAAAAAAATATAATTCCGAGTCTGAAGTTGGAATTAATTAAAATTCCGAGCTGAAAGAAAAAATTTAATGATATTTCGTCCTCAGTCTCGGAGTTTTTGTTAAATTTTGAATTCAAACTCAGAACTTTATCAGATTTCAACTTTAAACTCCAAACGGTATTAAATTCAACAAAAAAAGGACTTTGAAGTACGAAGTAAGTTTGAGCTGATTTTTGAAATTCACATTTATGCATTTGTGCGATACAGAATGATTACAGAATACTTCACAATTTTTTTTCGGTTCTACAAAGAAAGAAGCTAGTTTCCACATTTTTTCCAGGGAAGAATAAATAATTGAAAAATAATATAAAGGAAGACTTATGAGATGATGAATCCACGGATCCCAGATTTTTCAAATTTCACGAAAAAAATATTCTTTTGAAACGGAAAAGACCAGGCGCACAATACATACGTTTTTGGATACTTGTTAAATTTTCTGAAACTCACATTTATGCATTTTTGGGTTCCAGATGACTAACAGAATACTTCACAATTTTTTTTCGGTTCTACAAAGAAAGAAGCTAGTTTCCACATTTTCCAGGGAAGAATAAATAATTAAAAAACAATATTAAGGAAGACTTATGAGATGATGAATCTACGGATCCCAGATTTTTCAAATTTTACGAAAAAAATATTCTTTTGAAACGGAAAAGACCAGGCGCACAATACATACGTTTTTGGATACTTGTCAAAGTTTCTGAAACTCGAGGAAAAGTTGGTTTTTGATGAGCGGAACAAAAAATCCAATGAGTGCGAAACTCAAATATGAACCAGTTTTGAGCTACAGCAGCTCGAAGTTAGAGTTTATTTTTCAAAAACCATTTTTTCTTCACTCGACTCTTGTATTTTCATGTCCAGTTGACTCCAATAAACAGTAAGTCACTGAAAGTTTTGATAAAAACTCGATTTACTTAAGTCGTGCTTTAAAGTGTTGAACATTCATGTGATAATTCTGGTAAAAATAACCATGTGGTGGACTGCTGATTATTAATATGAATCTCGAAGCTTTGGCAATACTGAATTTTAGTGGTGAATTCTTCTTATTAGTTACGGTGAAATCAAAAAATTAGTCGGACCTGATTGAATTGAACGAAAAACCGCTTATTTTGATTATAACGTATTTGCAATTTTTGGGCAAGAAATCAAAATCAATCACTTCAATAATAGAAAGCGTCAATCACTTCTTTCTGAGACATCGAAATACTACCACTACTTTCTCCCTCGCAGTCAATGCATATGCCACTGAAGACCATGGCATGCCGGTCCAGATTTCATTGTTTCCAATACGAATTGCGTTTCAAAAAGGACTAGAAATATTCATAAAAAATGTTCACTATACATTGGTTTTTAATATCGTCACTTCAAAAGTGGATTCATGTTTATGTGAAGTTATCCACGCTTTTTTACAAAGGGGATAGTCTATATACAAAGCTAGAAAATCTAGAAATGTGTATTTCAATAAGTCTAGCTTTAGCTCAGGAGATGACGCTGTCGTTCAAAAACATAGAGGCCGTGTGGAAAAACAAGAAGGCAAGATGCATAGAATAACAATCTTGGATGAAGGTACTAATTAATAAGAGGTAAGTAATAAGAAATATTCGCTCCATATATTCAAGTGGTCCAACATAGCACAAAGAACCAGAGCATAAATGATAAGAAAATTAAGAAATTAGTAATAAGATTTTCAAAAATGAATTTGTGTTACACGTTGCTTGTAAACATCCAAAGAAATGTAAGATCATCCGAATTTTGTGCAATACGGTATTTATTCTGTTGTGCTGAAAACGACGAACGGCGAAATATCATTTGAGTCTGTTATGTACTAAAAATATTGAAAACTGGTAATTGAATTGCAAAAGATATTCGAAAACGAAATATTTTTGGACCAGGTAACTGATGAAGCTACCGTGTAGCTAAACGCATTTTAAATACAATTTATTGTGAAAAATCTATAATTATTATCATGGATAAAAGTCTCAGGTGAGGATAAGTATGATCTTTTTCAATCTGCAAGTTTATCAGTTGTTGCTTATTGTTGTAACTTTTGCTTTCCGTCATGTATTATAACAATGAATTCGTTGTGAATTCTCACAAGAAAAAAACTTAGGAAGCAAAAAAACTCTAGTTTTGAAGGTTTAAGAAATATTTAAACTTTCGACTTTTGTACGGAGTATTAGAAATGTCATGCATTTCATCAGTTCGGATTTCCATTGTTTAATATGATA